ACATACCGCTGTGCCACAGGGGAGCTTAAGTAAGGTCAATTTAATGAGTTTAAATTAAGTCAAATATATTCTCAATGACATATGTGAAACGATCAGCGGATTGTTTATTGTTCTTCTACTTGTTCTAGATCTTTATTTTTATGATTAACCATCTGTTTATACAAGTAAAAGACAGAGAGAAAAGAGCCAGCTGGAAAAAATACGTTCTCAAACTTTGTATAAAATTTTAGAATATTTTAAGCCAACCATTTGTTTTTGTCAGAACGCTTAATTAGAGAGCAAAAATAGATATTGAACGTGTAAGATACCAGACCCTCTATTTGCAATTTTGCATGGCCAGGGGGTTAAGGAGCTCGACTCGCAATCTGCGGGTCGCGGGTTCGAATCCCCGTCCCACCAAACTCGCCCGCCTTTTCAGCCGTGGGAGCGTTATAAGTGACGGTCAATCCCACTATTCGTTGGTAAAGGAGTAGCCCAAGAGTTGGCAGTGGGGGGGGGAGTGATGACTATCTGCCTCCCCTCTAGTCACCTATTTTTCAGCTTAACTATTTTCCTCTCAATTATTTTTAAGCAAAACCATTTGCCACGACAAACTAATTCTGCACTAAGACCATGCAACATTGCAGCTGCCTTAAGTCTTGGTACAGCTTGCGCGGAGTGTTTGTAATACAGATAGGCAGTTGGCCACTGGTAACTAAAGAAGGAAAAGCAAGAATCGTCAGTCTAGCGAACTAAATGTATGTTTTTGAAATTCCCGGTGAAGTTAGATAAATTATGTCCATGATTTCACTGCTGTAAATCTTAAATAATATCTATGTGGCCAATAGGATCTAATTATGAAAAGTGGTTGTCTGTACTGTTAGTGTAAAGCAACGAATTAAGGACATTTTTTTTAAACTGATTAGAAAACTCACTGTAGCAGCTGAATTATAGTTTTTAAAAGAAATGTTTGTATTCTTATTTTGCATATTTTTTAAGGCAACATTGTCATCTAGCCTTAGTTTTTGTTTGTGTTCTTGTTTTGGTATTGAGTTTATTGTTGCGCAATTCAGTATGGTTACAGCTTGTTTACAGTCGGGAAGCAAATACAGACTGTGATCATTAAGGCATAAAATAAATTAAAGCATTAAGACATAAAGGAATAAAGTCATAGAAGTATAAAGGTATTAATTTAGGAGATTATTGTCGAAAACATATTGTTCAATGTGTTGTACAAAGGAAGAATTTCCATGCGGGTGATCACTGTGGATATAACTCTTACTTAAATTCGCTAACAGGTTTTCAACATTGCATGTTGAAAACCTGTTAGCGAATTTACACAAATCACAAACCGTTTATTCTTTGTGTAAAAAGCACTGTCATTTATAATTTTTCACTGGAAATTTTCCAGTTTCTTTATCGGTCATTCAAAGCAGATAAACTACTTGAATCTATGTTTAACCAGAAACAGGTTGCACCTTAATTCCTTGAAACCACGTGCTTAGTGACGAATGTTGCAATGAATACATTTTTCTTATTGGGAATTCCCTTGTACCAGGGCAAATAAATTAAATACACTCCTCTATTCCTGAACAACTTTGAGGCATCCGATGTTTGTCAAAACCAAAAACTATCTGAACTAATTAAAGTTTACAATACGAGATGTATTTAAAAGTGAACAAAATTTGTGAATAACATATCCAATTTTTATTTAGTTGGAAACATCAAAACAGAGTACATAATATCTCCTAGCTCATGTTTCTTTGTGTGTTTCAAAGTTTTGCCGAAAGCTACACAACGGCTATCTGCTCATAGCTGTATCTAATTCTGAACCGAAATATTCTTTGTTTGAAGGCAGCTAGTCATCCCCACCCACCGCCACCTCCTTGGCTACTCTTTTACCAACGAATAGTGGGATTAACCGTTACATTTTTTACTTACGATCAACAGCCGTTTGTAGTCGCAAGTGTTTCTTTTGCATATATAAAAGATAATTTTTTTATGAGAGACAGGAAATGACTAGTTGCAGAGCACCGGAAGTATGTGTGCCGGAAGTATAAACCAACAGTCCACTGAGCGGACACGAGACTTCGATTGTATTGTTTAATTCCTTAGGTCATTGATTTCTGCTAAAGTAGGCAACTTGTGGGAGTAATACTCAATTACTTTAATACGTTCTTTTTCTTACATATTTGACACCAGAGGACGCTGTTTCTGTTGAAAACTTATCTTACAAGGAAATGTAAAAAACGATTAAAACGTGTAACGTGTTATCAGTTTTAAACCTTGGTGGACAGAGGACTATCCAGAGTGAGATACAAAGCTGTGGCTGGTTGAAGTAGCTGTTTAATTCCGTATATATCATGACAGGCAATGGACAGGTTCTGCGAGCTGGAATACTAAAAACATTTTTTGTAATGCTTCTTGTCGTGAACCCAATTTTCGGCGACATGTTCTTAAAGCCAATCCAAATCGGCCTTGGTAAGTGCTTTCAAATATTCTATTTAGGTTCTAAAACGTGAAAAAAACAACATAAACCTATACTGCTGGATAAGCAAGTATGTTTTAATTGTTATTTTTAGTTAAACAAAACATGAGTTTACACACTTCTTCAAGTATTTCCATTCAACTTTCATTAAGGTAAAGCAGAATCTGATCTACATTGCAGGTCAAAGTTTGGAAGCAACAAATGAATGAAGCGAAACTGTAAGTGAGAACAGTACTGTTTATTCTTCATCACTTTAATCCCTAGATTACTAAAATGAACAACATTGTACTCATCCCTAGTCCCCCTACACATCGCTTCCAAATTTTTATACGGTTACAGATGGTTTGTATTCACATATAAACATATATTTTAGGGAGTCAAAATTCGGTTCAGTTGTTGAATCCTGGAAGGTTCTTCCAAGCAGTGATTTGTGATGGCTAGGAAATGGATTTAAATCTCCAAATAAACATTACAATTTTAAACTATTATTAAACTGTAAAAATCTCCATATTAGCGAACAGATGTTGCTTGTTATGAATTACCTCACAGTTTGACTTTAAAACTTACCAAGCGAATTAATAAGCAATAAAATATTTTAACATTCATAACTTTCTTTACCTGTTTGAAAATCAGAGTAAATGTTAAATTAAATGTAGATTGCGCTTAACCCCAGCCGCTTTGAACAAATTTGGAAATCCTGTACCTCTTGATGGCCGTATTTAATCACAGCTAAGGTTACTTTTTACCTTGTATTGTAGTTTTTACCTTGAACTTCATTCATGTTTAATATAGATGATTAATATTTCTCAGAATATTCTTATAATGATTTTAAAAAATATTTTTGTCATATGCATCCTAAAGTATCTAGAATGATGATCAAGTTTATTTCAGACAATTTCAAAATGTGAAGCTAAAAACTTTTAATGTATAGTTACGACAACGGAAGTCACGTGACGCTGGTAATACGTCATGAGTTTCTAGAAGGATCATGACTTTTCTTGGCAACTCTAGTCTTTTCCAGGCGCCCTCTATTTTAATATATAAGCCTGGCAAATAAAGCGGGAATAGCAGATTGAAGAGAGATATAGAGACAGATAATTGAGTCAAGTGAGCGGTAGTGATTGTAAGTAAAGTGCGTGAATCGTTGTGAATTATAGCGCGTGTTTAAGATAAAGTGACTGTGAGAATTCTGTGTATTGCAAAGTTGTATTGAGAAAGAATAAACTAGTTTTATTTAAAAAAAACAACTTGTATCGCTGAAGTTTCTCGGGGAGAATTTGTACCGGAAATTAACAAACGAACAGAGACATAACAGTATGATTTATGGCAATTCAGAATCTTTAAGACGACCAGGGACGTGCAAAGTAATCTAAATTTGGCTTCTATTTTTGGTGGTGGGGTAAACACGCTCGCATGCTACATATATATACATATGTATATGTGTCATAGCAGTACACGCACGTACGTCGTATGCATATAAATTAACAGCATTAAATTAACGAAAATTACCGAATACGTATCCACAGCGTTATTGGGAGATTCGGACACCTGCTTGCCTCCCTTTATCCACGCCCTTGAACACGACACACCTTATTAGTGTTATATTTTAAACCATAGGATAGTTTTCTGTAAAACTGTGACTGATCTCTAACTGTAGAGCCAATGGTAGACTATGTGTATTACGTAAAAATTAAAATCAGTTTTTTGATGTTACAATGATAGAAATATTAATATACTGGACCATTTCTGTATACGAGGCTTCTATATCCCTCTAAATGGATTAGAGGTATTTTCTAATTTGTTATTTTTTGAATTTTTCTTCCTATGAGACACGAATAAATATTATTCATTATATTTGTTTGTTTTAGAACAAAACCACGTTGGACTATCTGTTGTATACGCTGCGAGGAATCGTATCCCGAATTCTCGTGTTGTAAGACTTTGGATTTACTGCTGTCTCACCGTGGAACTTATTCATTATAAGTAGATGAAGGAGTTAAGCCTAGTCACAGCTTGTTTACGTGTTGCCACTATTTTCGTGGATATAATAGTATTGCAGTGTACCAGTTGATTGCATAGGGTAAAGCATATAAATGTTGTCCATTAACGATTAACAAAAATGATAAAACATGTCGAACTTGATATGTTACATGACTGCATATTATTAATTCGGATTTTCCTGGGGATGGACATGGTCTCTAGGGTTCAGAGTTTATGTTCGGTTGCCGAAAATCACGCTCCACACTTTAGAGCCATGGTTATCTCATGAGAATGGCTGTAAAATCCCACTATTCGATTGGCGATGGGCACTGTTGAATGGCTGCATTTTCTCTAAGCAATCAGTTCAAAGATAGAAAATTGATGCAGACAGCACTTGTTCAGCTTTGCGCGAAAATGCGAAAAACAAACCAGTTTACTTTCTTTCTCTTTTTTGAAGACTATATTATGATTTTTTAAACCAATCTTTATAGATATAGTTAATTAAAAACTATGAAAAATTTGGGATTTTTTTATATAATTGTTCCTTTTTCAGGTCGCTGTATCGATGACGATTTTGTTCCCCATATGGTTGGCGACACATGGTATGATGACAAGAAATGTCAAATGCTAACATGTATCTACATCGAAGGTTTCCTGTACATTTCTGGATATGGGTACGTATCTAATGCACCACATTTAAAAGTAACACGTATAAACTGTTATATCACAAGGACATACCAAGGTTTTACTTTTTGTCCTATCGTGTGATATTTTCTACAGGTTGTTGTCGAGTGACTAGTTTTTGAAGCTCTTCGAGGGAGTTCATTGTTACTGCTAATGTCTTAAAACTTTAGAGAAAGATGAATTAGCACGATGTTTGACCAACTTTATAACAAATATCTAAAAATTAGTAGCGATATTAAAACAAAAGAATAAAGAAGAAAACAATAAACATACTAGCTCACACAGGAAATCAAACAACTGACAACTTAAGAAATACCAAGTCTCTGGCTATGTCGATAAAAACTATTCTGAGTTTTGAAGTACCTAAATGATGCTGTTAGAAACTATAGTTTTCAGCTGATAAGAACCCTGGGATGGAATGAAGTTGTATGTTTCTAATGTTAGTATAAAACTACTTATAAAACCCATGATTAAGCCAACTGAATGTGAGATCCGCACGAAGAAGTTAGAAGTTAGTGTGTCAATAACAGTGAAAGGTTATTAATCCTTTTATACTTTTGTTAAAAACATTTCACCAGTATATATATATGTCATATTATATTATAAAGAAACTTAAAATGCATTAGTAGATTGAAGAAAACCTTACAGACTGATGGTCTGAATATTTCTACTGAAAGTTGAATACTTTCAAGCCTCACCACATCGTTACAGTCTATGTCACCACTTCCGGTCAGACTATCTGAGAACCGTGATGCTTCACCACATCCTTACAGTCCATGCCACCACGACCGGTCAGACTATTTGTGGACCGTGATGCTTCACCATATCTTTGCAGTCCATGCCACCACGACCGGTCAGACTACCTGATGACCGTGATTTTTGACACAAGACCTGCAACGTAGATTTCATTGCAAAAGACTTTGTCATAAGGCAGCCATGTCTAATGCACACCACTATTCCCTGTATGCTTTTCGTGATTTATCAAAAGCATGAGGATGACAGTTTTCACAGCGCATGTTTGAACAGGCCGTTTGCGCAGAAATCCATAGAATTTGCGACTTGACCATATGGAAATTCATGAATATCTTTCATTCTCGAGCTTTTTGAGGTATGCAACGGTTGAACGGGAGGTATGACTGGAAACCTTATTTTAGTGATCTCATACCCTGTTGACCTCGTTTCCAGACAGAAATCCTACTGAAATATATTCGCGGATTCTTACTTGTTAAAAGATGCCACACTTTGCTTACCATGGCTGTGGTACGACTTGTTGTAGATCTTTTTCTGGATGATTCTGGTACCTAAAGTTGTTTTGTATTCTTTTATTTTCCAATGCCATTAAATAAAAGGGGGTATCTCCTTCTTGGAAGTTTTAAATTCCCGATCTAACCCGTTCTTATGATTTGAGCATATGAATATTTTGCGTCGGAAAAGGCTGTTACCAAAACGATCGATTTTCAATGTCACTACTTATTAAACGCCAAACAATGTCAAAAGTGGAGTTCTAATAAAAGCCGTTTCATCACGACTGTATATATCGGCTCTAGTGGTCACTTAACCTACTGGTTTGCATACTGAAGATAGTTTTAATATGCTGCTCATGACCCTGTGTCAAACTTTGCTAAGTTAAACTAGTTACGTGTTTGGCAGTTTTCCAGTTTCTGTAACATATTACAACGTTATTTTAAAGTCAAAGTGCAAATGACGTAAGACGTATTTGCAATGTCTGTCACGTGGTTAACGTGGAAGAGATTTAAAAGATAATGCAAGGAAATAGGAAAAAGCTTTTCGCATCGTAAAAATAAAAATTGATTATGAATTTTACAATGATTGGAGAATTCGTACTTTATTAAAGCTATTTAGAGCTTAATACTTTAAAACGCTCCTCAAACACACTTTATAACATAAAACGAATTCCTTTTGGAGTAAGTGATTATTCTCACATGCAAAACGATTTTTTAGGAGATCCCAACCTTTTTTCACAGATTCCTAAGAGTTTAAAGAAACATTTAAATAACATTTACGTAAGAAAGTAATATAAAGTCTTGAGTTTGTGTACATCAAAATTGTTTTAATGCTCACTTTCCAAGATTTTGTGGTATTAAGTAGTTTAAATACTGTGACTGATCTTCGAAGAGAAAGTCATTTACGATATTGTGTGAAAATGCTTGGCCATAAAATCATGTGCAATGTCGAGGTGATTCATGTGCAATGGCTTTACATTCTGATTATGCATGTAAACAAATAATATAGATTAATAAGTTCATAATATAAATAACAAACGTTGAAAAGTACTTTGAGATTATTTAGAAATAACATTGATGAATGAACTAGTTTTTACTATTATCAGACATAGTGCTGTTGTTACAGACCGCTGAGGTTAATTTTTAAATATTAACTTTTAAATTGTGTTTTTCCTTTAAATATTGTAATATTTTGGAATTTTGGAAGAAAAATAAGAAACGAGGAAAAGTTTTTTTTTTTCAGTTAAAAACAAATATCTGAAACAAGGTATACAATGAACAGGTTTTTAAGTATCCCCAATTTCACCACAAAGTGTAAGATACAAATCACATTTATTCGGCTCTATTATGGGATTTAACAAACAAACATAGAAATAAGCCTATTTAATTACAGTTAAATTAAACCCAACTGTCAATTTTGTAGGTGACTTTTAACACGTATGAGGTATACAAAAAGTTAGAAACGTAATATTAAAACCATTCTGAATATGCAAATAAATAAGTTACATGACAACCACAGCCACTATAAAGTCGCGGTGGACGGAATGTATCAGAACTATATTTTATGAGTGGTGAAAGCTGTCCACGTGCTCTAGACAACAGTACGCAACGTAATCAAGAAAGATCGCCGTCTGAAAACGAGGTCAACAAAGTATGGGGTTACCGAGATAAGGCTTCCAGTCATGCCTCGCATTCAACTGTCACTTACCTCAAGCAGCTGGGTAAAGAAACGGCTATTTACAATGTCCCATACAAAGACATACCAGTCAAGTAGCTGGACACAAAGCTTGTGGATTTCTGTGCAATCGTACTTTTGAAATGAGAACTGTGAAATCATCGTCCTCATACACTAGATGGCTTATAGATAGCAAGCAGAGAGTGGTGATGTGCTTTGAAACCGACAGATTTATGGCGAAGCAGCTTACGATGGAATCTACGATGCAGGACTATTGTCAAGATTCACGGTCGCCAGATAGAACGTGACTGGACGTGGCGACATGTGCTATAATGATATGATGAGACTCCAGATTTGTTTTAATATAAGGTATTCATTCTCTATATAACAATATAAATAATGTTGTGGTGGTATAAACTGTAAAATATATTGATTTAAAGCTATTGCACACTTTTTGTTTTCAATGTTCCCTAGTTTTTTACTCTGATAGCTATAACTATTAGTTGGAAAGTTTTGACATTAGTTGGCTTTGGCCAGAGATTATATATGTTAGTATATATTATTTTAGAACTTTTCTTTGTTTAAAATTAGCTATTTAATGAGTACATCTTATCTTTATCAAGAATCACATAAAAATTCAACTTTTCTGTCATGAAGAAGAGAGTTTTTTTTTAATTACGCACAAAGCTACACAAGGGCTATCTGTGCTCTGCCCACCATGGGTATCGAAACCCGGTTTCTAGCGTTGTAAGTCCGCAGACATACCGCTGTGCCACTGGGGGCAAAAGAAGAGAGACTAATGTACTTGTTTGTTAGTTTGAGTAGGTAAAAGTGTAAATCTTTTTGTTGTGAAGCTCAAAGAGTATGCAATGGGCTATTTGTGTTCTGTTCACCGCGGGTATGGAAATCCGATTTTAAGTATTATTATTAGACCTCATGCTTACAGCTGAGGCACAAGAGGGCCAGATTGTAAAAATGTTTTCTTCACTCTTGGGCAAATAGTTAAGATATTTTTTTCCCACACAAAACAGCCCCCCAGTGGCACAGCGGTATATCTGTGGACTTACAATGCTAGAAATCTGGTTTCGATACCCGTGGTGGGTAGAGCACAGATAGCCTTTTGTGGGTCTTTGTGCTTAACTTAAACATTCAAAACAACGTTTTATATGTTGCTAGAGCTTAAATAAAGTAGGATGGGAAAATGGTCATTAGAACATTTTTTTCTCGTAGTTTTGATGTGATGCTGCTCATTTTTTCAGACCATTGTGAGCGTATATTTTAATTTTTAAAAAACAACAACAAAAAAAGCATAGAGCATCTGGAAGTAGTGATAAAACCAATTTCTGCTCCACGGTACAACCAAACGGAACTTAATTTTCAGATTACCCTGTTTTATGTTTTATTCAATTTCCTATTTATTTATTTTTTGTTCCTTCCGATGCAGATGCGGAAGAATTGGATATTCTCCAGGGTGTCGTGTCGTTAAAAGAAAAGGACATTATCCCGTTTGTTGTCCAACTGCGAAGTGTTCATAATTAAAGTAGCTGCTGTCATCTAGTGGCCATAGTTGAAACCTTAAGAATATTACTATCAAATGGTATATATGTACGAATCTTATATTTTTGCGTTATTGTAATCCAATTCCCGAAATTATTTATATCTTTAAAACGTTCATTATGCTTTATGGTTAACTATTTGAAGAAGAAAAGCACAATGTTGACAGTACTGTGTTGAATATACGAACTATAGAAACATGCCATGATTTGTGGTTAAGTACTCTGAAAATAATGAATAAAACATTAGTGAAAAAATACAGTAAACGGAACAAACTGTCAGAAGTCTGACAGTTTGTTCCGTTTACCGTGGCTTTTTCACTAATTGCTGTACACGATATTGTGTTCTTTTATTATGAATAAAACATTACTAAAGATATTTTTCATTTCTGCATAATTATCTTACATTTATTTTTTTTCATCAAGTTCTTAATACACAGAAAAACAAATGAGAAATTAAACAAAATTTCTTGAACTCTAAAAAACAATTGAGATAAAGATTTTTATTATACACAATGTGTAGTAAAGTTTTCAGCACTTTTTGGCTACTGAGGGTAGTAATAACACCAGAAAACGTAATTCCCTACCCCAAATAAACGATGTTAGACTTCTCAGTCACCAAGAGTGTCAAGATGCTTTTGAATAAGAAAAAACATTCTGAATAAAAGTAGCTCCTCCCAATTTCTTAGCATCATCAACAAACTTGAAATATTACTGCCCAAGTTACAAATAATTGTTGATGTTTATAACAAATAATATAGCTATTAAGCCAGCGCCCTCTAAAAACCCTCTGGTCGCATCATCACATCACTTTTCAAAGTCATTGTATTCTAGTCCAAACACAATACTGGAAACCACGTCTAAAGCTCCAACAAGCAAGAAAAATACTGTTCTGAAAAATGCCTATAATTCTTAATTCAAAGCCAATCTTCGAAATGCTTTTCTAAGTAATTTTGTGACAATGGTTTTTAAACACTTTGTTATGAAATTAAAAGGCTCACACCTTTCTCATTTTATCCTCTCTGTTTAAGTAAAAGAGACCACACTGACATTGTTCAACAACAAAAGGTGTAGAGAAAATGTTTAAAAAATTGCATTTAAAGTCCATACCATCTCTTTAATAACTGGTTTCGAGGTTTATTGTAAATTTCTTCAGGATAAGGAGCTTTATTTTAAAGAAGTTGCCTAAATTCTTCTAAAACAATCTTTTCTTTAACAAGTACAATTTAGGGAAAAAGCTTTTTCACTTCTTAGAAAAATTGGTCTTATTTGGAATCCAATCTTTTCTTGTCAGTAAAACTGTAACTATAATCATGTATAAATTTAACCATGTTGCCTACCTGACTATAATCATGTATAAATGTAGCCTAAAATAACCAATATTATTTCTTTTTTTTTCAGTGACAAATGCATAAGAACTGCTGTTCCAGTTAAAATCGAAGATTTGAGCAAAAAAATAAAAAAATCCATAATCTCTCTTAACTTGGACACTTAGCTAGAAAAAAAAAATAGATAAACCTCGAAATACTCCATTCTGGTAGTAAATTTAAAATACGTGTGAAATAAGTGTTTTTTTATTTATTTATTTCTCTTTTCTCCTATTCATCTATTTAAGAAAAAGGTTTTGGTTGGAACGAGATTGACTGATTTTCAGCCATAGCTTGATCGAACTTACATCATTATTCCAAGTTTCACTCTTCAAATCTAGATTAGCCACCCAATATTTCCGTCCGAAATTATCTTCAAGTTTCGGAAATTGTCTTTTCTAAGATCTCGGACAAGTTATAATATCATGTCGCTGGTTTTAATAAAATCACTAAAAGTGATAGTGCTGTGATTGATAGTGTTCGAGTGCACTATCACAACTACACTTATAAGCATATCTTTTACAGCGGAAAGAATAAGTGTAAAATAACGTCTCCCTCAAGATTCAACCACTCATTATCCTAAAATAATAAATCTACTTCCATTGACAATATATGTGATCTGTCTAGATATAATATTCCTATTAGTGTATTTATTTATTTCAGAAATTCCAGTAAAGCTATAGAAGGGTTATCTGCGCATTATCTGTCCCTAATTTTGAACTAACAGAATAAAAAGAAAGCAGCTAGTCAACAGCACCTACCGCCAATTCTTGGGGGACTGTAACCAAATAGTGGGATTTGACCTTCACTGATGAATTCTGGGGGTCCAGTTGTGTTTATTCATATCATCTAATGTTATTAATATTTTATCTTGGAACACTGCACATTAATATAATAATAACTCTCTCTCATTAATTAACAGTTTTTAAGATATTTTCAGTATTTACAATGATTATTGCATACAGTAAAGAAAACAGTCATGTTTGGTATAACCACAATTAAGCTTTTGATTAAACTCTTTGAACAATTTGTAAATTTAAACAAAATTTTGAAACTTTTCAAAATAGATTTATTTCTAAAATATAAAACCACTTTTTGTGTTTCGGATATTCGCGCAAAGGCTATACATGCTCTACCTACTGTGAATATTGCAACTCGATTTTCAGTGTTATAGGCCCTCATATTTACCGCTAAGTCAGTGGGGAGTTGTACTGATAGACTAGAGGGAAATCAGCTAGTGAACGGCACTTACTGTCAAATATTGAGTTACTCTGTTCAAATAGTGGGATTTGGCCATCATGCAACCCTGTCTTCAATGTGCCAAGCACATTTTTGCAACCCTCAGATTCACAGTCGGACACTTTAATGGAACTCAATGTTTTGAATGGGTCTTATTATATACAGATTCAATGAGTTGATAAAAGGGGTTATGTGCCTTTAGATAGGTTAAATCTAAACAGCCACTCACCACACACTCTTGTAAAAACTCTGGAACGAGGATATTAGACGCCGACCGACTGTATTCTAAGAAAATAGGATATAAATGTATTCAGTGCAAATATACACTGATTGGCCACTTTGATAGAACCACTAAACATTAGTATAAGATATGATGTGTTAGGTCAGTGCATACAAAAACAAGGATGTAGTCATTCCATCATTAGTTTGCAATAAAATACATAAAAGCAAAATATCTCTCTAACTTGAATGTATATATATAGGAAGAGCTATCTACTCAAATACGAGTTATTTGATAGACTGTTCAAACAGTTGTGTACTCAAGGTCCATCAGTAGCGGCAATCGAAAGAAAATACTTCTGCCGCTAGGAAAAACTGTAGCTCCCAGCAACCGGTGTTTGACAAAAATAAAATACTAGAGAACAGTCCTTTTCAATTGACCAATTCTTTCAAAAGTAACAGTCAATAGTAGTAACCTGAAAAGAGAATTGAAATCGTAGGGCAATGGAAAACTGCTTATCTTAGGTGCAAACAGGAAAACACACCACACGGTGTTTCGAACACAAAATATATACTGTGAGTGAATAAAGTGTGTAATATGGTTTGACAGATGCCTCGCGTTTCACTTTGTATTGTACTGCCGGTAGAATATAAAATATGAAAAAAAAAGAAACTAAAGAGGCACTGGATCCTGTTTGTGTTGTTCAAGGTGCAAGCTGTTGGAGGTGGTGTGATGGTATACGGAATGTTCTTGTTACTGATCGCTTCCACTGTGTTGGATAAGGGTGCTTTCATAACAATAATGAAACAAGTCATCAGGTTCGTGTTTTCAAAATTTGTTCGAGGAGGAATGAGAAGAACTTCAATTTTCTTCCTTCGGCAACCGAACTACCATATTTCAATTGGATTAAGCATTTTTGGAATAAGGTTGAACGTCGAATTCGCCACTTTAATTTTCCCATATCTTTTGATAATTAAAAGCATAATGCTTTTGAGGTTTATATAGTAGAACTATAAACTTTATTACGACACTCTGGAAGTGAAGCTTAACTAAAATTACCTTTTTTTAAATAAATATCAATTTAAAAATAAGACGCTCAAAATACGAGTAAGGATCTAGGAAGATGGAGAAAACTATGAATTTTTAAATAAACCATTCACACTAGTATTTCTAAAAAGCGTAGAAATATTTGTCTAATAAAGAAACCAAATTTAATCGATCATCGCAATTTTCAGTTTTTTGAAAAACACATTTTCAGATAACAGCAAAATTTATAAGCAAAACTAGAACACACTGAAGGTTTAGAACGCTAAAAACCGGGTTTTGATACCTGTGATGGGACAGAATAATACCCCTTTGTGTAGCTTCGTGCTTAACATTAAATAAATAAACAAACAATATTTATAACCAAAAACATTGTCAATGATCTCTTTTGAATTGTTAGATAAGAATTCTTATAGTTGGAAAGCATTCATTGTTGAATTTTAAACTCATGATAAAATTCTGTCATATTTAATTTTGGCCGAAATTTAAGTAACGTGTCCACGAATTAAACTACTTTTATATTTATTTACATACTTTTATAAGTGTTTATTTCATTTAAAATTACAAAGCAAGATGCCCATTATACACTTTATTTGACATGATCAACAACCTCAGTTCGAAACTTTAAAGAAAGTTAATACATATACAAATATGCCGAAATCAATATTTAAACGTGTCTTGTTGTACACAATAGATATTTAATAACTTACACCGTTGAAGCAATTAGCATTTATGTTTCTATAGAACATGGTCTGCAATTTCATGATTTTAGGTTATACGTCATAAGCTCATTACTTTAGTCGGTACACAGTATAGGATAGGTAATACTACAAACAGTTTGATCTTCGGCATGTTATATTCTCAATAAGATACAGAGAAACAATTAAGTTGACGTTTATGAGAAGTACAACAGAGATACTCTAGCTCTTTTTAAATATTACAATATTTAACAAGTTAAAATACAAGCAATACGTATATGTTCATAAAACAATCCAAACACTTTTATAACACATATTTGGCAAATAAAATTTTACGAGCCGATTGTTAAGAGCTTGACATAGATGGCGCTTTAATTATTTTGTAAAGATTATATAACAAATCAAATTAAAACAGCCTGATATGTGTGTGGTATAAATCTATAAATTACAAAGCACACTTTAACATTATATACTAAAAACTTACTCATACACCATATATAGGTATCTATATTATAATTCCTGTTGACAATCCCCACGCCTTATACCAATATAACTGAATTTTTGGCAGAAGCTACATGTAAAAAGCTCCTTTACATTTTACAATCTTATAACAAACACCATAAAATATCGTCGAACGAAACTAAAACTGTACAAACATACAGTACCGGTGACAAGCCTGAGCCCAACTAAAAATATCAATAATTTTGATATAAAATCTTGTAAGATTTGGATCAAAAATTAAAAAATAAGAGCGGTGTGTCTTTTGTTTGTCTATTGTGTTACATCCAATAAATACAATAAAACAACAGTTCGATTTATAGATATTATCACAACATACTCGCACATCATCTGCATACTATTATGTGTAAATTGGGGTTGATTCAGGACAATATCTAAGTAATTAGACGTTAAGTTTTCACAGCTGTTTTAAAACACCAACACTATTGTTTTGATTCGGTTAATTACAGTAAATGACTAGTAAAGTGCCATTGACACTCAAATAGTTCCCAAGTTTAATCATAACTAAAACAAAGCAAAATAATGTAAAATTATTTACATAATGAAAATAGAATTCAACTGCATATTGTCTTACATATATATATATATCAATTAAATATAGTAGTTGGTAGTTTGTTTTGTGGCTTCGTTTTTTGATTTTGGTTTTCTTTCTATCTCTATGATATCATATTTGATCTAGCGATGCCAAATAATTTCTGGGATTACAATAGAGGGAAAATGTTGCTAATATCTGTGTTAAAAAGATAATTCGTGTTAATTACGGCACATTGATTTACATAATTGTGAATGCCATTTTATTATGACATAATGATAACTAATAACCTATAAATGAATCTATATGATTTTTCCTTCTTTTACAAGCACAAAACTTTCGTAGTCGTGCAATATTTATACATTTTGATTGGTTCTCGTATTTGTCAAGACGACTGACATCATTCAGTACTTTGAAGTCATTCTTTTCTCGGTAGTAACGCACAGTACTTTCGAAAATGGCTTTGTTGGGGTACGTCATCACGGTCAGTAGGTAATCTTCAGGAGCTGATACTTTATCATCATGTTTCATATCACGATTGTTTACATTTTTAATGTGTTTTTGAAACTTAAGTATCTCCTCATTGGCCACAGATACTCTAGACTCCACCACGAGCGCAATACTTAGAGGTTCACATTTGTTCTTGTACTTTTCCAGCCATTGGTTAATCGTATCAAGTAAAGCTCTTGCTGCTTTGACAACAATCGAATTTGTGGTTTCTACTTCCTTATATACATTGCACGTGCACCAGTGAGGCAGAATAAAGGCAGTGTTGCAAGTTCTGTTAACAGGTATTTCGTCGAACAAACTAATTCCTTTATCTGTTGAAAACGGTACATGAGGCCCTCGTTCTACGTCGTTGGTAAGTTTCAACAAGTGAACTAACGTTGCATGCAGATCAAAAGGCGTTGTCAATCGTCTCTGATTTTTGTAGATATTTTTTGATATTTGTGGGTACTTTAAGAGGAACCATCGCGGTAACATTAAAAATATAAAAGGCATTCTTTCTTCTAGTTTCCCAATGTATTTTATGCGTATCTTTCCGAAGCGTATACCATGGTCACTAAAGAAGAAAAATAACGTGTTATTAATAACACCTTTGGCGTGCAAATGTTTCAAGAGTTGAAATGTTGGTTCGTCACCATAGCCAGCATTATTCAGGACATCGTGCGTAAGGCGTGTAATAAAAGCAAACATAAAAAATTTTTTGTCTGACATAGTACTAAGAAATTGTTCGACATAATTATACACTACTTTTATTTCCAGCTTTTCTTGAACACAGTGTTTTCTGCTATTCTTCCTGACATCAGATTTTTCAAGAGCAAGAGCGAAAGGTCGGAAATAGTAATCAGTTGGAGGATGTTGGAATCCGTTTTTCAGATAATTGAACGTTGCTATAGTTGGAGCGTCTTCTGCGAACATGGTTCTGTAGCCCCTTGCCGCGTAATCTTTCCAAATGAAATGAAGCTTGTCGAAAAACATATTTCGATTTGTTTCATTCCAATAATACTCAACAAAATGACCAGTAAGAAGAGGTACAAGATTAGGGAATGTATTGTCTCCAACTTTAGTGTAACCAAAGAGCTCTATTGGGTTTAAAACCTCGTGAAGATAATTATTAGTTTTCTTGAAATGTCTTAAAAAGTTTAGTTTAGAAACTGAATCAATACCAATAAACATTACATTTAAATTATTTGGGATTGGAAACATTTTGCTATTTCTTTGACATTTTCTCTCAACTTTTTTTTTTATAGGTGTGAGAGGGATATACTCCTTGTGTAGCTTATTTTGGTTGTGATTACATTGTACAATGATAAATTCTTCACTAATGGATATCCCGAAAGTCAGGGTTTTAGACTGCCCTAACTTAAAACTGTTATCAGTTCTACTTGCTGGTAGTTTAGGATCACGCACAATTGGTTTATAGGAGCATGAAATATTTGTGGAAAATAAACCGTAATATTTTTTAAGAATACTTTCATTTATTTCAAGGTGAGCATTAGGCTTAACTTCAATAAAAGACGGCTTTCCTCCACATATTGTTTTAGCAGAGACATTTGTATAGTATTGTATGATGGTTGGATCAAAAGGACTGAACTTGGGAATCTGACATCCAAGAGTATCAATGAGATGGCTCTTACTGTAAGTTAACTTCTGATCAGACTCAGAAGAAAAGAATAACTTCTGAGGACGATTGTTAGTAAAAATCTGAATAAGTATCATTACGAAAGCGGCTAATATTAAGCAGAACAGAAGTCGTTGCTTAATCATGGCTGTTGGTTCAGTGCCTGATTAATTATTTTACGTACCTCCCTCTGTAAAAATAAAATTAAGTAATATAAATAACTATGAAAAATACATATAATATATTTCCGTAAACTTTTCCACTATTGAAAAATATTTTTCATTTAATGTTTTATATTATCTATTAAAATCGAATCGAAATGAAAACACTGCAGAAGCTACAGATTATTACAAAACTTTACAGCATATAAAATATTTTGTCTCTATCGCATAATCTAAATATCTAACAGTAAGAATGGGTGACAATAAAAAGAACTGGTGGCAATATCTTGAAGTAACATCCAAAACTTTTTTAAAAGCTTTATTGGTTTATACCTTGGAGTCTATTTCGTATTTTCGGTATTTCTAGCAAAATATGTCACTTCATTAAATAGTATGCTTTAGTATTATTATTTGCGCAACTCCACGCAATGTGCTACCTACGCTTTGTCTACCGCGGAGTATTGTAAGTCAGTAGTCAGTAAACTTATCGCTGACCCAACGGTGGACAAACGGTGTGCATCTATAACCAAAATACAATGACGACGAGTTAAACAATAATTTTACCAAGTGTAATTTTTAAATAAGAAACGCAGACTAGAAAAAAATCGAAACAGTTGAAAAAAATTATTGTGGAGAACTCTTAACAAAAGACAATTCATAGTAACGTAAAACACGTTTTATTATGTTTTCGGCATTAATAATAACGTACAATGTTTCGACCTACTTACTTAGATCATCATCAGGTGTAAAATATAGCAAAATAACATTGTAATCGATAGAAATAACAACGAGATTAGCATGCACTAATATTATACGCTTAGTAACACTATCGAGGCGAGTAAAGGAAGATAATTTTCTAAACTAAAATTGTCCATCAATGAAAACAGATTAAAATAACCGTATCAAAAATGCATTCATAAAGCACATTCACTGGCCTATGCACCAAATTTAATAGTTTTTACCACATTCTCTCACATACGTAATAGCACATTCACTGGGCTATTCACCAAATTTAATAGTTTTTACCACATTGTCTCACATACGTAATAGCACATTCACTGGCCTATTCACCAAATTTAATAGTTTTATCACATTCTCTTACATGCGTAATAACACATTCACTGGCCTATTCACCAAATTTAATAGTTTTTACCACATTCTCTCATATACGTAATAGCACATTCACTGGCCTATTCACCAAATTTAATAGTTTTTACCACATTCTCTCATATACGTAATAACACATGCACTGGCCTATTCACCAAGTTTAATTCACATTCTTTTACATACGTAATCTAGTAACATAGCTGCTTAACAGAACCTACAGCCTATGCTCTATTTTTTATTTCTCCCTACATTCCGAAATCTATTTTATTCAGAGTCAACTTATTGGCTGTAATGAATCCTCCTAACTGTAGGTGGTAGCTCAAAGGTAAGTTATATTCAAGAAAACAGCAGTGCAGCCCCAAATACCATTTAAAATAAGTTTCATTAAAAATAATCTTAAAACACAATTTTATTACATTGAGAACTAAAGGGGTACTCAGTAGAGAGAACACCTCCGCCACGTAGCGTTGATCCTATTCGGCCCTCAAGAAATATGAAAATGTATCTGTATGTCCGTCATTATCAACGGACCATTTTTGGCAGGATAATGATCATTTTTAACTGAGTTATAGAACAAAAGTAGTGTGAAAAATTGGGCCAATTGTTAACAGATAGGGATTTTTTGGATTTTCATAATTTTACTGTGACCTTGACCCTTCAAAAACTAATCCCTTCTAAGGTGGGTCATAGTCCAAATCCATTCAGCTGTTTCGAGAAATCTTGCTGACAAACACATACACACAGGGGTAAAAATATAACCTTCCTATACCTTCGGTGGCGAAGGTTATAACGTTTAGAATATAGGAATGTGGTTTTTAGCTAAGTCTTAATGATTAAATAATAATAAAAAAACAACACGAAATTTCATTTTCCCATTATTAATGCTAGAATAATGCATCTTAAGTATGAATAAATATCTAATGTAGTTCAAACAAGCACGGGAACAAGTGACAGTTTTCATCATCTGAAGTTAAGTGTTGAATATCAATGGATATTCATAGGAAGCAGCAAACAACGCAATTGGTTTCATTATTGCATCCACAGATGGTAAGAAAGTGTTTCACAACAACAATAAAGTGTCGTGAAAACGTAGCTTAGATTTTTCACATCAACAATAGGGTGTCGTGATACCTCTACTTGATTGTATCATATTAACTATCATGTGTTGTGAAATCTCGGTTTGAGTGTTTCATAACAACAATAAGGTGTCGTGAAACTTCAGTTTAGGTGTTTCATATCAGCAATCGGTTGTTGTGAAACCTCGGCTTAAATGTTTCATAACGACAATTAGGTGTAGTGAAACCTCGGTTTGATTTTCTCACATCAACAATAGGGCGTCATGAAAACTAGTCTTGATTGTGTCATATTAACAATAAGGTGTCGTGAAAACTAGGCTTGATTGTGTCATACTAACAATAAGGTGTTATGAAACCTTGGCTTGCTTGTGTCATATGAATAATAGTGTGCCGTGAAACCTCGACTTGATTGTGTCATATCAACAATAGTGTGTCACGAAACTTCGGTTTCATTGTGTCATGGAACCTCGATTTGAGTGTTTCATATCAACAATAGTGTGTCACGAAACTTCGGTTTCACTGTGTCGTGGAACTTCGGTTTGAGTGTTTCATATCAACAATAGAGCTTCGTGAAACCTCGGCTTGATTGTTTCATAACACCCTATTGTTAATATGACATTCTTGGCTTGATTGTGTCATATGAATAAGTGTGTCGTGAAACCTCGACTTGATTGTGTCATATCAACAATAGCGTTTCATGAAACCTCGGTATCACTGTGTCGTGAAACCTTGGCTTGAGGGTTTCATATTGACAATAGGGTGTTGTAAAATCTCGGCTTGAGGGTTTCATATAGACAATAGGGTGTTGTAAAATCTCGGCTTGAGGGTTTCATATAGACAATAGGGTGTTGCGAAATCTCGGCTTGAGGGTTTC